GAGACCGAGTTGCTGCAAGGAAGCCAAGCCTTCTTCCCCCCCCCACCCCGCAGCTAAGGGGGCGGGACTGGCAGCGAGGGCTCATTTGCATCTCGAGCGCGCCGGACTCTGTGAAGTTAAAACATCCCAAGAGGTGGGGGGGTGAGGCGGTCTGGACACTTAAGAGTGTCGGGGGGAGGGAGGAGGGAGAAAGAAAACTCCTCTGTGTCAAATAAATCCGAGGACTGACTCCGGGTGAAAAATCACACCAGAATACGAAGATCTAGTTTTAAAAAACAACAACCCAGTTTTATTCCAGGGAGGACAATCTGAATCCAATGCTGGTTATCCCAGCGCTATATCATACACCTCTTTTTTGGGTGTGTGTGTTTTGAAATCCTTAATAAAGAGCCATACGGGCATTCCCACGTCTTGTGTGAATGGGGGGCGTTTCTCCTTAAACAAGCTGATTGAGATGCTCTTAGCCAAGCCCAGCCGGCCGCCTCTCCCGGTGCCTCCCAGGCTGGGGAAGTCGTCCCCTCGGTCTGCCGGCTTTCTTCCGCCTCTTTATTACCTCCACCTCCTCTTGCGCACTTTTTAACCCGCATCCATTGAAGCGCCTGCGTGCGGACTCCAGCCAGCCAACTTGGACGAGCGGATCCTTCCCTCCTGACCCACACGCTCGCCCCACAACGGAGGCCTACCCCAGGGACCGAAAAAGTAGGTCTCAAGTTGACAGAGGATGCCCGTCGGTGTCCAGATCCCTGCGATCTTTCTCTTCCGTCCCCCTTTCGCCTTCTCTTCCCACTTTTCCGGTTTGTTTAGGTTTGGAGACTTTGAATTTTAAAAAAAGGCAGACAAGAGTTGAAGTCATCTTTGCTTTACAAAATTAAGGATTACAAGATGACCTTGTAAGGTGAGGCGACGGAGATACTACCCGGATTCGTGAAAAAGCCAGGGGTCGTCTTGGCTTCCCCTCGCTTTTTGATTAAAATCTCTTTAATTGGCTACTCCCCCGCTCCGCCCCCACCCTGGGGTACACACAGGCGCCCCACAAACCCCTAATTCCTGGGGTCCGCGCGGGAACTGGTATGAGAATGTCACCCAGGCTTATTCTCTCTCTCCCCACACAAAAATATACCTAGTTTGGAAAGTGGGGTTGTTTTAAATCACCCATCCCAGAGAGCGCATCCTGGCTGCCGGTTCGTTCCAGCTGCTGTCCTCAAGGGACTGCCCACCCCGCTGGACTTCTTTCTTTTTTTGAAGTACAAAAATACTTATTAATAAACCCCAGATCGTTTCCCAAACTACTGTATAGTCATACAACCATACTGATTCCAGGCGGAAGAGGTTTAGAAAGAACAACTCTACATGTTTGGAAACGCTGAAACCAACGTGATGTCGACGTTTCCCGTTATTTCAGTCTTACTTGCTCACCCATCGATGCGATTGTGTCGTTATGGTTTTGGTTGGCGGGGCTGCTTTTTAAGCTTTCGAAAGGCGATTCCATGGAGAGTACGAAAGGTTCTACCACCCTCCATTTTTAAAAAGCTTTCCAGGTCTCACGGATGAAACCTAAGCCGCCTGGGGTCCTTTAGGAGCAAGGCGGCATAGAAATCTTTTAAATAACTAAACGAACGAACAAACCTCTCGCTTCTCTCTCCCCATCAAGGAGAGGTGGGGGAGAGAGTCAGACTGGGTTTGAGAACTGGAGTCTGGACAGTCTGGTTCGCTAGTCCTTTGGGACGGGTGTGCATGGGTTAATTTCGCATGTGTGGCCCCCCCACGGTGTGTTTTTGCGCTCTCGAAGCCCGTTCCTCGGTGCTGGGACGACCCTTCTTCGCAAATTTCGGGTCTGACCGGCAAAAGAAAGGGGGAAAGAACGATTAACGCGCTCCTTCTTAGACGTTTTTAGGCCGTTACTAAGGAGGAGGAGAAACTAGAGGCCCGTTTGAGTTCATTTGATTGTAGAACTTGGGGGAGTACCCTGGGAAACTACATCTCCCAGAATCCATCTCAGCTGGGGATTCTGGGAGCTGCGGTGGAAAAAGAATCTTCACTCACGCTCTTGTGTTCCGAAACCCAGTTGCACGGCACATGTTTTGGAGACGGACCTGGTATTGATCTGTTGAGCTTCAGAGTAAATTATCTGTTGGCTGCCTTCTTGCTCAGGGGACTCGCTAAAGTCAGGTCTTAAGCGCGTGTCATTGAAAGCTTTGCAACATCTCTTCGAGCTGGTATGTTTTTGTTGTTGTTGAAACCCATGAAGGTCCAGAGAGTAGGTCTACCGAATTAGGCCGGTATGTTTGCCTTTGATCCTGATTTGATCCTTCCCCCAGTTAATCTATTGGAGCTGGGGACACCAGAATATTTTCTGCGAGGAAGATTCAGTTGACAGATGGGGACTGCTTTCCCCACAGTCAGGAAGCTTACTCGCAGAGGAAAGTCTTGCATCTGTGTAATCCATAATATCCCATTCTAAACCTACAGTATTTCCAAAATCGCCCACCAAATTCACCGTCTGGATTCTTGCCAACACTTACGTAAGACCTAGCCGTTTAGTGGTTCTACTCGAATTGGGACGAACAACTGAATTTTGCCCTGGCCTGTAGGAGATTTCTGGCTGGTTGGCAAAATCATTGGGGACAATATATGAGAGGATGCGTTTGGAAAGCTCCCCAAGCGTTGTACTAGGAAACCAACCAAAACCCACACGCGTCCTAACCGGCCTTGCGCCTATTGTGCCACTAAATACCACTAAATACCTTCTCTTGGGAGCAAACGGGAGGTTTTCTAAGCAGAAGAGCGCAGGATGTGGTGCTGAAATGGAGATTTAAAAATTTCCTCTTCCAAATTTACTTGGAGGTAACTCTTGTTCGTTGCCATGCGAAGAACGTAATCCCTTAAGAAAGAAGTTAGAATGATTATCAGGAAGAGGGTGCGGCAGCCAAGCACCACCCCACACCTTGTCCTGATGTGTGTGTGTGTGTGTGTGTGTGTGTGTGCGTGTGCGTGTGCGCGCGCGCCTAGTGGGAGGGCTCGGGGTGACTTCTGCCCTGATCTCTCCCTCCTGCATCACTGCATGGACCCCCATATATTCACCTTCCTCATTCGCGCCTGGATCGATGGATGGATGGAGGGGCGGTCCATCTCTACCACCCCCTCCGTCCTTCTCCTCCTCTTTCAGCCCCAACAGTCTTTTGCCGAAACCTTTCAGAGACCCACATCTGTCGGGGGGGAGGGGAACAGAGAAGGATAAGTTATTCCCTTTGGGGGGGACACTGCCTTTCTTTCCCCCCGAGCGATTGTGAACTGTGAAGAGCTGCAGTTTAATCTCTCTTAAAGGTCTTCCTTCTTTCCTTTCCATTCCTTTTACTCCTTCTGCCATTCTGCTTTTCCTTTCTTTTCTCTTTTTCTCTCTTTTTGTCTGCTTTTCTATCTTGGCTTTTCCTCTTCTTCTTTCTCCTTATTTTCTTTCTTTCTTTCTTTCTTTCTCTCTCTCTCTCTCTCTCTCTCTCTCTCTCTCTCTCTCTCTCTCTCTCTCTCTCTCTCTCTCTCTCTCTCTCTCTCTCTCTCTCTTCTTTCTTTCTTTTCCTTCCTTTCCTCTGCCTCTTCTTTCATTCTTTTTCCTCTTCCTTCATCCTTTCCTTTCCTTTCCTTTCCTTTCCTTTCCTTTCCTTTCCTTTCCTTTCCTTTCCTTCCCTTCCCTTCCCTTCCCTTCCCTTCCCTTCCCTTCCCTTCCTTCCTTCCTTCCTTC